AAAAAAAAACAAAAAAACAAAACCAATGAAGGATTCATGTAACACATGCTGAAAAAAACAATGAAGGATTCATGAGTTGAGAGAAGAGCTGGGAGAGGTTGCTTACTGATCACGATCACGGGCAAAACAGACTCAAAATGAGAATATTCATTGAATTTATTACTAACAGGGTCAGAGCAAAAGAGTGAGAAGTAAAATAATCTTAAAAACACCTTTCTGCAATGCAGTTTGGTACCAAGACCAAATCCCTTTCCCCATTTGTAAACAGAGGCTATTACTTATACTAAGATATTAAATCTCCCTCTCTCTACCTTTGGCTTTGTAAACTTCTGTCATGAGTGGTTTTTGAAATAGGTTTTACATCATGTACTTACAGTTAAATACAATAAATAAAGTATTTATACTCAGTATATAGATACAACCATACTAATGCTCTTTTACTAAAATTACTAAATTGCAATCTTAGTAATAAAAGCAGGAATACTGTGCACAATTTTTTTCTAACACTGAACAACCAAATACATTTTGAAAACAGGGTAACAGCCTTTTATATTTATAGTCATAACAGTTTACATGTTAAATATAATCAACTCCCAAGTTATCAAAAGCAACAGCATTTAAAAAAAATTAAGCACTTTGACCATAACATAGCAATTTTAAAAGCAACTACTTTCAAACTGAGCAACTGCATTCAAGAACTGGTGTCATATATAAAGAACTTAAACTTTAAAAGTAAATAGAAGCAAAGCAAGGGACTTTGACTAAAATAGGCTAAGAATAGCCTATGTTGCAAACTACTCAGGATACAACAGTAAATTCAATAAGGCACAATAAGGTTCAATAAGGCAAAATGCCAGGTCCTGCACTTGGGTCACAACAACTCCATGCAGTGCTACAGGCTAGGGGAAGAGTGGCAGGAAAGCATCTCAGCAGAAAAGGATCTGGGGGTGTTGGTTAATGGTGACTGAACATGAGCCAGCATTGTGCCCAGGTAGCCAAGACGGCCGATGGCATCCTGGCCTGTATAAAAAATAGTGTGGACAGCAGGACCAGGGAAGTGATTGTCCCTCTGTACTCAGCACTGGTGAGGCGACACCTCAAGTCCTGTGTCTAATTTTGGGCTCTTCACTTCAAGAAAGACATTGAGATGCTGGAGCATGTCCAGAGGAGGGCAATGAAGATGGTGAAGTGGCTAGAGAATAAGTCATATGAAGAGAGGCTGAGAGAGTTGTGGTTGTTTAGCCTGGAGAAAAGGAGGCTCAGGGGTGACCTTCTCACTCTCTACAGCTACCTGGAAGGAGGTTGTAGCAAGGTGGAGGTCAGTCTCTTCTCCCAGGCAACTAACAATAAGACAAGAGGACATAGCATCAAGCTGTGCCAGGGGAGGTTCAGGTTGGACATCAGGAAGAATTTCTTCACTGAAAGTGTGGTTAAGCTTTGGAATAGGCTGCCCAGAGTGGTGGTGGAGTAACCATCCCTGGAGGTGTTCAAGAAATAACTGGGTGTGGCACTTAGCACCATGGTCGAGTTGACAAGGTTGAGATTGGTCAAAGGCTGGACTAGATGATCTTAGAGGTCTTTTCCAATCTTAGTGATTCAGTGATTCAATGATTCTAAATTTTATTTAATATGATGGCAGAATGTAGCATCTGTACTGGTCCTTATTTCTGAAGTCTCATGAGAGTTGTTTTAATCTTCAAATGAAGCCATGCCACATTATTTACTCAGCCATACTGAATGTTTTGAACTTAATTTTATAAAAATCTTATGAATTTAAGTATAAAAGTGAAATGTAGGTTAATTAATTTTTATTAAATGTCACCTCATGGCAGCGTCAAGAGGATATGGAAAAACAATTACGACTAAAAAGCATGTGTACTATGCAAAGATTGAATGGTCCAAGCTAGAAACCAATAATGCTGTACATTGCTTCACAACAGAATAGTAACTGATTTTACAAACTTAGTGGTCTCAGAATTATTCTAAACATTAATTATATAGAAACAAAGCTGATAAAACTAGTTATTACAAAATATTATGCCTTTGACTTCCCAAATGATTCAAAGTTCAGGCATAAGTGACTTCATCTTGTATTTATTTTCATAACTCTTGGGTAAAATATAACAACTGTTCAATAGTGCACAGCATCAAAGTAAAACAGCAACTACTGTGAAGCAGCCATTGCTAATAAGAGAAAATGTAAAGAAAGGACTGGCATGATGGTTTTGACTGAGATAATTTTTTCCACAGCAGCTTCTATGGGTGTATTGGGTTTGTGTGGCAAGGTTTTGGTAGTGGGGGGGATACATGGGTGGCTTCTGTGAGAAGCTGATAGAAGCTTCCCTTATGTCTTACAGAGCCAATGCCAGTCAGCTCCAAGATGGACCTACTGCTGCCCAAGGCTGAGCTCATCAGTGAAAGTGGTAGCACCTCTGGGATAACATATTTAAGAAATGAAGTTATTGCACAGAAGCAATTGCAGCCAGAGAAGAGAGGAGTGAGAATATGTGAGAGAAACAACTCTGCAGACACCAAGGTCAGTGAAGAAGGAGGGGAAGGAGGTGCTCCAGGCACTGAAGCTGATTCCCCTTCAGCCTGTAGTGAAGATCATGGTGAAGCGGGCTGTCCCCCTGCAGCCCATGGAGGTCCATGGTGGAGCAGTGATCTACCTATAGCCTATGGAGGACCCTATGCCAGAGCAGATGAATGTGCCTGAAGGAGGCTGTGATGCCATGGAAAGCCTGTGCTGGAGCAGGCTCCTGTCAGGATCTGTGACCCTGTTAGGGACTCACACTAGAGCAATCTGTTCCCGAAGGACTGCAGCCTGTAGATGGGTCCTACACTGGAGCAGTTAATGAAGAACTGTAGATCATGAGAAGAAGTCACATTGAAGAAGTTTGTGGAGAATTGTTTCCTGTGGTAGGGACCCCACACTGGAGCAGGGGAAGAGTGTGAGAAGTCCTCCCCCTGAGGAGGATGCAGCAGCAGAAACAAAGCATGATAAACTGACCACAACACCATAATGTAAACACCATTGTTAGTTTCCTTTTCTTTTTTATTGGCTTCTGGTGAATTTTTTTCACACCAACTGCCTTGGCTGGTGTGGGGTGATTTTTCAGGTTTTAGTGTTTGCTCAGCTTAGACCTTAATGACTGTCCTACTGATGTGCTAATGGTTTCTCTCTGCAAGAAGCTGAGCTCTTTTGTTTTCCTCTCCCCAAGGCAAGGGGGAAGGTAGATTTTTGGTGTGTGGTTTTGGCCCAAGTGACAGTTGCAGAGAGATGGGGGATGGGGAGGCTGGCAGTTCTTTTTGCTGGGAGGTGCTTGGGTTTTGGGGGTTGTTTTGCCCCCGTTTTCTTTTTTTTTTCTTTCTGCTCAGGACAGCACTTGACTTTTGCCCTGACTCAGGGAGGGCATGGGAAGAGAAGAGCTCCGGGGTTCATTTTGTTTTTGGCCAAGTCATCTAGCTGCCTTTGGCCCTGGTTCGCCTCCATTCCCTCATGCCCTGTTCTGCCCACGGCCTGGACTTGCCTCGGATTTCATTAGAGAAGCTTCTACCATCTGTGGAGGAACTTTTGAGGGGAAAGGCTGGTCTTCTACCCTCCTCCTTCTCTGTGCCAGTGGTAGTTTATACTCATTGATGAAGAAGGGGAGTTCCAGCCAGAGCCAGTCTATGACAGCATGAGTCCACAGGAGGAATGACCTTCCCCCTTTCTCCTTTCCCCCTTCGGTGGGGGTCCCAGTTCGGCATGCAGGCCCCACAGATGCAGCGGCTGCCAGAGCCCAACAGCGCCCCCTGGTGACCGATAGTGAGGCACTGCAGCCCCTGCCTCCCGAGGCACCAGCATCCCCTGATGAGAGTAGTTATAACTGTGCTGAAAGGCAAAGAAGTACTTAATTGTGTTCGGTGAAAGTTGGGTTATGGGATTGGTGCTTGTTTGTTTGTTGTATTACCTATATATTTATTCTTTAGTAAAGAGCTATTATTTTTCTTTTCCACACCTTTTGACTGGAGCCTCTTAATTTCAAAGTTATAATTACTTGGAGGGAGGAGCTCAGTTGTTTTTCCCATATTCTGCCCTCCTAATGGAACATTTCTACCTTGTTAAACTGAGACAACCATAAAAATCACAAAGTAATTCAGGTTGGAAGGGACCTCAGGAGGTCACACTCCTGAGTGCCACAAAAAAAAGACCTCAGAAACCAGAGAGGGAATGAAACAAAAGGAAGAACAACTATCAAACTTACCATGGACTTGATTGATTTCTGAATTCTGAGAAAGAATTTCATCTGCTAATTTCTGAGCAGTTGGCAACACTTCTGTGTGGTGCACTGTGATCAAATACTGTACAAATTTTTGTAGTTGGTCTCTGTTCATTTGAAACAGTGTCTCTGAAATGGGAAGATGCAGTTTGACCTGATCTGGCTTGCGGATCCGATATAAAGAGAGTGCCACAACGTGGGCACAGTAAAATATGTCCTTGTTTCCACAGCTACAGGTCACTGAGGTAATCTTGCAACGATCAAAGCTGATAGCTACATTGCAAAGAGTTTCTGGCTCCGATTGCATTGCACGGTCTGTCACTGTGCCACTCAAGTGGAAACCTGTGAAGGGAAAAAAGGAGGTCTTACATTATTAAATCCAGTACCATATCTTATTATCAATACCCTTTCATTAATCAAGTAAAAGTCATCATCTATTGCTGAGAAATAATATAACTTAAAGAATTTGCTTTAGTTACAAATGTGATGAACCTTTTCTTTCATTCATACCCTTTTCATCTCAACTAAAATCAAAAGGAGCTAGTTTACAAGCCCTCTTTGCTATTCCATCACAACCTTCATAAAAGTTTGAGAGTAAGAAAAAGTTATTTGGTAAATGATAGCTGCAGAAGCAGAGTTGCATACAATTAAGACCAATGTGAAACTCCCAGTAGTTCAGCAAGCTGGCAGCAATTTTCCAAACCTCACACCAGAGAGCCTGCACCTACCAGCAAATTTAACCATTCTCTCAATAAGTAAGAGGAAAGTAGTGCACTCTAGTGGCACAAACCCTGGTCCTAATCTCAACTCTGCCACCAATTCACTGACATAAGTTAGTTAACCTCATTGCTTTCACCTCTCCCCTCAGTGAGCTGATGCTAAAGCTTCAACCCAAGCAATTTTGTAGGGCAGCTATGTTTGTGTAGCTCTTTGGAGATGGAAACTGCTGCGGTTACTGATACACAGCAAATCAGATTTATAATACTGAATGAGATACACATGCACTGTTTCAGAAGTGTGCATTTCCACTTGGCACCATAGTGCAAGGTAAAAGACCTGGGTTATCTTATATTGTAAGAAGGTATACCATAAGAAAAATTTTCACTTCAGCCACTACTCCACAAAGCAGCCTGTTGAACCAAGGTCTCAAACTATTCTCTGAAGATCAGATCTAAATCTATCTCTGTTTTCCCAATATAAAGACCAAGATTTGGCTCTCAATAGTTTATCACTGCAGAATTTGTATGTTTCTTTTGGATTTTATGTAAACATGACATTGATTTTTGGTTCAATCATAAAGTCAGAGGTATAGATACAAAGCAATACAAACAAATTACATATTCTGTATCAGTATTAAACTTGAACAGACTACAACATAAAATCTAAACCAGATATTACAAGTAAGGTGGTATACATTAACTATTTTTAATGGAAATAATATAAAGCCACGTTCCCTCAAAGTCCAAAACTGATGGAGTATTCTTCTATTTAAAGAAAAGTGTGTTGTAGGAAGCAGTATCCTCCCTCTGCCTTTCCCTTTGGTTTTTAAATAATCATAGCATGCTCCCATGAGTGTCCTCTCTCAGAAAAAAGGTTTGTTAAAACTTATGCAGTTCTATTTCAGGTTAATTTCCAGCAAATGAGATATGTGTTGGTGGTCTCAAAAAAAATTGTATGGGAGATATCTTTTTTTAAATATAACTTTCCTATGAAGCATGCATAAAACTCTCTCATCTATGACCTGAGGAAAAGCCTAACACTTGAACACTCAAAAAGGGCCTGATCCTACTCCTTCCTGCTTTCAGTAAGGAGCTGTATTGGGTCTGGTTGAGATGGTGTTCATTTCCCCATAGCAGTCCTCAAAGTGCTGTGCTGTGCTTTGCATTTTGCATTGGTAGCCAGAAAAGTGTTGATAACACATCAGTGTTTTGGCTACTGCTGAGCAGTGCTGGCACAGCCTCAGGGCTGTCTTTCCAACATTCTGACCCACATTAATAGGCTGAGGGTGGGCAAGATCCTGGCAGGGGGCACAGCTAGGCCAGCTGACCCAAACAGACCAAAGGGATATCCCAGACTGTATGATGTCAGCTCAGATATAAAAGCTGAGGGAAGGAGGAGGAAGGGGAGGCATTCTTTATTTACAATGTTTGCCTTCCAGAGCAACCGCTACGAGTGCTGCAGCCCTGCTTCCTGGGAAGTGGCTGGACATTGCTTGCTGATGGCAAGTAGAGAATAAAATAATGGGGTTTTTCCCCTTTGCTTGTGTGTGCACAAACTTTTACTTTTGCTTTGGTAAACTGCCTTATCTCAACCTATGAGTTGTTTTCCATCTTATTTTCTCTTCCCTGTCCAGCTGAGAAGGGGTAGTGATAGAGTGGTTTGCTGGGCACCTGGCATCCAGCCAAGGTCAACCCACCACAGTCCTTCTTGGTGCCCAGTGTGGGGTGAGACAGTGGCAGTTATATATTAACAATGATATAGTAATAGTAGTTATTGAGTATCAAGCTCCTGTCGGGGACACAGAGTTTGTCAGCTGTACTGCTTGTCTATTTTGCTGAGTTTGGGAACATGTTAATACAAAAAATGTCTCTGTACTTTGCCCTTCTATTGATGGCCTTGTTGTGCTGGGGGAGATATCTTGCCAAGAGGATGAGGGAATACATCTCCCTCTCCCTACCCGGGATTGATGTGGATGGTTTTATAATGCAGGCTCTCGTGGTCCTTGTTCACCCTTACTTGAACTGTTTAATACTATCAATTAATACTGTTGGCACACTATGGAGTTCATGGAATCTGGTGTTATCCTGGTGTAAGAGAAAATAAATTTTAGGTGAGGATATATTGAAATGTGCCCTGAGGCATCGAGTTCCCAGCTGCAAGGGTGTGTGGAAGGATCTGGGCAGGTTCCTGAGGCAGTTATCACCTCTCATTACCTTGGACTTCACACCAGAACAGGTATTCAACCCTGGCAAACTGACATGTCACCTGATGGAAGGGTGCCTTGCCTACCCCAATGAAAACCAGCAGCCTCTTGCCCTGTACTGGGGCCTGGCCCGTGCCTATCAAGCCACAGTTCAATACTTTCAGAGGACTGTGGTTGAGGCAGGAACCCAAACTGCAATGGAGGACACTATGGCTGAGATAGGGACTCAAACTACAACTACAGTAATTGCCCCAGTAGAGAAAAAGAAAAGTGGATAAGGAGAACTACAGGTCCATGTCATCAACTAGAAAGGCTGGAAGAAGAAGGAGAAGAAGAAGAAGAAGCAGGAAAATCAGGAAAGGAAGGGTCTGATCAACAAGCCAGTCCTTCAACAAAGAAAATGAAGAAAAGAGTGAGACAAATCAAATGGGAAACTGAAGTTAGCCAGTCCCTGATCTCATCAGAACTTTGAGACTTGTGAAAAGATTACAGCCGCCAGCCAGGTGAGCGGATTCCTACCTGGCTGCTTTGATGCTGGGATAATGGGGCCAATAGTTAGCAATTGGAAGGTCATGAAGCCCAACAGCTGGGATCCCTTGCAAGAGAACAGGAAAGAGGAATTGGAAAAGAGGCAGCAATTTGGAGTCTCTGCAGATGGCTCCTCTCCAGTGTGAGAGCAAGGTATCCATTTAAGGAAGATCTTGTGAACTCCACAGGAAGGTGGACCACTGCAGACAAAGGTATCAAGTACTTGAGAGAATTAGCAGTGCTGGAAGTCATCTACGGTGATCTAAAAAAATTATAACATTCAGAGGATGTCCCTTGCACACAAGCCACATGGAGGAAGGTGATTCAAAGTGCCTCTGCATCATATTCCAACAGCTTGGTAGCATTGTATTACCTGCAAATGGATACACCAGCTGCAGAGGTGACATCCTCTTGGATCTGAAACATAGAAGAAATTGTGTACTTCCACATCTTTAGGGGCCAGCACCTCAGCTCTTAGGGGCAACCCAGGAGACTGGTCCTCTCCTGCTCCAGTCAGAGGGAAAGGAAGCCCCAGGCACAGGGCACGTGGTGAACTCTAGTTCTTTCTGCATGACATGTGTCGTGGTTTTGCCCACCAGCCAGTCCCTGGGGCTGAAGATGGTTTTGTCCAAATCTTTAGTAACGCCTTTGCTAATTACATATTTAAGAAAATGGAAGAGAAGGTTGGTGGCGCAGTTGAAATTAGGTAGCCATGTAGGAGCAGCAGCAGGCCCTGAGTGGGACCCAGGCCCCCTCCTCCCCCTGCCCTGAGCCAGGGGCAGGTGTGGCACTGAAGCCCCGCTTCTCTCATGTAAGAGAGTAAAGAAAAAAAACTGTAAAGAACTGACTGCTTGGACAAAAACCACTGCAGAAGAATTCCGGCAGAGAGATAATGAATTGTTCAAGGCCAAAGCTGCAGCAGGAGAGAGAAGTTCGAAGGGGGGCCTGCTTCTCCCCCCTCTCTTGCTCTCTCACTTCAGCAGGGAAAAGACTGAAAAATAAAAACCCTGCCACCTGTGAAAGTTTGTTGGGGTGAGAAGACCCCCATGTTGCTCGTGGAGGAGTCTACACTGCAGTAAGTTAATGCACAAAGAAGCTGAGACTTCATGAGAAGGACTGAAATGAAGCAGAGTCCTGTTGAAGATTTATGACCCTGAGAGGGATGAGGCTTACGCTGGAGCAGGAACGGCTTGGGTAAGCTTGGGATCTCAGTGAGAGATCCATGCTGCTGGTGGCTGGAAATTTGTAACCCTGAGAGAGACGAAACTTATGCCGGAGCAAGGACGGCTCGGGTGAGATGTTGGAATCCGTGTGTGGGATCCATGCTAGACCCATGTCGGAGAGGTCTATCAAGGACTGTTCTCCCGTGGGGAGAGACCTCACAGGAAAACAGGGGTGGACTCAAAAGCCATTATCCCCTGTGACTCTGTGGTGAAGATCCATGGTAGACAAGTGTCCCCTTGCAAGCCCATGGAAGACCCTTCAGGTCCTGAGTAATCCCCCAGCCTCCGGTCTTAACCCAGGAGGGGGTTAGGCCCAGCCCTGGAGGCCGACGTAGACAAGAGAGAGAAAGAAAAAGAGTTCCAGATGCGACAAAAAAAGGAGTTATCATCCTGAGATAACAGAAGAGCTTTGGAGTGCTGCAGAGTTATTGAAAGACCTGGACCTCTGAGAATGGAGAAAGAGACTGCTTTTCCTCCTTGGACTGATATAAAGGGGGGAGAAGTATTTCTGTAAATATATAGTACTTTTTACATAATTAGAATTGTTGTAAATATAGTTCTTTAGTTTTTGTCTTATTAGTAATAAATGTTAATATTATTTTTCCCCAATCAAGTCTCTTTTGTCTGCATAAACCTTCTCTCAACTAATAGTAATTGTGTGGGGGGTG